TCCTGGATGAAGTTGTACTTTTGCTTCAACATGAAGAAATACATCTGACTTGGCAGGTAAAACACAGTGAAGATGTCATGAGATACTGGGCCATAAAAGAAAACATAGGAAAATTATCAAATTATTTGTCTAAAATGTAAGTCAAATAAAGACATAAGCTTCTTTTATAAAGTGCAAGCCCCAAAAAAATAGTGATTTGGGCCAGAAAGAGACCCAAGTTCACATACAACTGTAATACTCTGATTTTATCAGCTAAGTCATTAGATGTGACAAGCTAGGTGAAGCGAAGCTTGACAGTAATTGCATTGTGGTGTATATACACAGATTCTCCAACGAGAGAGGAACGAGGTCCACTATCTTTGCTTCCTCATGTTAATAAGACAGCAATGACAATTCAAATACTTCAATAAATGATGAAAGAGAACAGCGTTACAAAACCCCCTCTAAAGTCCAGCCTGACTCACCTGACTTCCTTGCTTTCAAGGCAATGACAGCAGCCAGTTCTCTCTGTACCTAAAACACCAGGAAAGGAAAGGGTGGTTATAGTTACCAGTACAGTCAAGCAAAACAAAATGCAACACTGGTAAGGTAACGGCTATCAATCCTTTGGAGCAGTCAACTGTAAGTGGAATTATGCAGGTACTTGGTTTTGAAACTACAGCCACTTTTCCTAGCAAATCTATTTCCTTTTCAGCTGGGAATTCTGTAACAACTTTTTTTTTTTTTTTAACTTTAACTTCATGTAAATATTGCACATTCCTTAGGGGGTGGGTAATTCAGTAGTCCAACCTGTAATTTATTTGCACAGCATATCGCTTTCACAAGCACACACTTGAAGCTTCTTCCTTTCCTTGTTAAATGTTTGTTTTGCCTCTGCTGAGCACATTGTAATGCTGGATTTATTGTGTGACTCCAGGATAAGCGAGTTCTCCATGCTGAGGTTTGGCTGAGGTTCACATGTATAATTGGCATTCACTTTTTGGAGCTTTCAGGAGGAAACCACCTCTCCTAATAGCATGGCTGAGCATTTCAGAACCAAAATTTAGCTTGAAATGAATATGCAGAGGTAAGAGCTATCTGATTTCCAGATTTACAGGCTATCTCACTAGCCTGTGATGAAACAGCCCTGTCACGCTAGCCAACTCCCTTTCTCAGCATCTTGTCTCTGCATTCCTCCTATTTTCCCTATAATCTCTACATGACCAGCTACTGTCCCTTTAGCCAGCTCAACTCTATATCCACTTCTCTCCACAGGTCTTCATTCTTATGCTTCATACTTCCTCACCGCCATCGTCTGTCCCACTGCAGCTGCCTCAAGTGCCCTGCACTTGACCTATAGCACCCCAGGCACTCTCTCCTCCATACACCTCAGTTCTTCCCTTCCTCTGCCCCATCCACGTTCTCAGACCCTTCTGTATGCCTTCCAGCTTCTTCCAGTTTCCCTCATTTTCCCAAGAAGGCCTGTCTTTAGAATTAAAAAAATAATTATGGGACATTCCAACTATTTTTCTAGGGATTGTCTTATCTCTCCGTACAAAGTCTCCTGCACTGCATACTAGCCACCTTGTCTAACAGATCTATGCAAAGCTCAAGGCAGTGGGAGTTTTGACATCCAGTTTCTGAGAGCACGTGAAATTTAAAATGCACTCACAAGACATGTGGTATGGTCAGGATAAGGCAAAAAGCCCATGAAGGATCCCTGAAGTAATACAGTTTCTAACAACTGTCAACATCCCACTCTCATGACTCTGAAGGGAAGTTTGAAAATGTGAAACAAGAACAGTTAACGTTATATTGGTCTGAGCAGAAAGACAGACAAAACCACCCAGGACATCTCAGTACAATGGCAATTCCAGCATCCACTCATCAGAAACTCAGCAGCCGCCCAGCAGTACGCTCTACACATGGCAGAGAGCAGTCATATCAGAAGCCACATCCTTCCTCTGCCTGCATCCTTCCTTCCCTTGTGGCCAAGGATCAGGGAGGGTTTTTTTGCCGTCTTTGCAAGGTACAAGGATCTTTCCTACTCCTTGATGCTGCCCCACTGAGAGGGACAGAATTTTCTGCCACTCCAAGCAGGAAAATACGAAGGCAGTGCCACAGTTTTCTTAAATGTCATCCTGTTTCCAGCACAATTGTGCAAGCTGGCAGCATTACCTTCCCTTCCTTCCTTCCTGTACACTCATTCCCATGTCTGGAGAACTGTTAATCATGGTTACTGTAAGCATAAACTGCAAGTAAGATGGGAAAGAACAGCTCTCTGTGGAAAAACAACTTGTGTACTTGCTTGCCTGCAGCAGTTAATATAGACTAGTAACAATACATACAAGCTACCCAGAGTTAGAGTGGGATTTCAATAAAAGCCCAAGGTGTTTCTGAATAACATCACCACGACTTTTCATAGCTAAACTGCTCAGACCCTCTCCCTTCATTACACTCAGCAGGAGGTATCAATGTCGATGCCCCAATCCTGATCTATTCTCACAGGTTACTGACAATAAGAAACAGTGTACTGATGTCTCACCATTTTCTTTTAGCATATAATAAATACATTATCTCAAGATTAGCTTTAGGAGACACTAACTACAATCTGCAACAGTTGTAAACGTACCAATTAACCCCATCAAACAATTGAAAAATGCAAATCTCCCCGTGAGTGCAAATCTCCCCCCGAGAAAAACCCATCTTCTCAGAAGAAAAGGAATTGTGGTATCCTGCAGTTATATTTGCAGTATTGCTTTTGCTTATAAGGTAGCACTATTCAGGTTTGAGAGACAGTGCTAACATCACAGGCAATAAAAAGGCTGTTTTTCTGTATTTTGTCTATGTTATGCAAAATATCTCAGTTTGCTGTGTGCCAGGAATGCAGGTGGCATATTACTTAATCTGAGCAAAACCCTTCAGTTAAAGTAGAGAAAAAAATGCTCCTCTAGTCTTAATATTAAGCAAACGTTCCTTCGTCAAAGGGTTTCAACCTGACACTTTGAGCTCCCTCTCATAGGACTCACTCAGATCACAAAGAATTGGTAGCACTGAGCATCCTTCTGGTGTCCCTAGATTTCATCATCTATATGCTTTTGTCTATTTTAGCATAAATGCACTTGACATCTCTGCTGGCCACACAATTCCTGTGCATCATTACACCATGTACAACACTCATTCCTCACTGCACACATGCTACACATTATCATACTTCTTCCTAATAGGATTGCAGTTACTGCCGGTTTGACAAAATCGATAGCTGCACATCACATTGAAGATAATAATGTAGGCTTAAAGTAAAATACACATTCAAACAAGAGCTATGCCTACCATAATAAATTGAGGTATTAAATACAAAAAATTGGTTTATACATATAGCTCATCACTACAAAGCTAACACTATCTAAACAGTATCCCATTTTGAGTAGCCTTGCAGATGTCAAAACTGATTCAGTTTAAAGGCCAGCTTACCACACAGTATTTACAGAAATATTATGAAAGTCTGAAAGAGAACATTTTAAGTGTGTTATTGGCATGTTACAACATCTCTGAATCAGGTTTTTTTTTGCAATATGAAAGAGCAAGAGTGTGCATACAGAGTGGTACCCACGTATACTTCAGCTTGATTAATTACAAATGACATATTTATATGGTGAATCTTCTCATCTTCAAAGGACAGAGGTAGAGATTTTTTCAAAAGTAATTGACAACTGCTGTTCTTCTCTTATCCATTAATCTGGTCATTTTATCATAGAAGGCATAGTTGTGCATCTAGCAGACAGTGCATATAACATTTTTCCCCCTCTCTTTTTTCTGCCTGTAGAAGTCTTTTGTGAAACATTGTAGATGTAGTATTGTAGATGTTGAAGTGCCAAATAGGACTTCAGACTTAGAGACAAAGTGGCAATCCTTACAGAATCTGAAAATGAAATCCTGCAACAGAAAGCTCTAAACAGCAGGGTTTTGAAAAAGAAGAGAGTCTCTTTCACATTTTTGCTTCTCAAGTAATGATAGTTTGATGGACTCTAAATAAAAGTAGCATTGGCTCACTCTTTAAAGTACCAGAAAACTGTATTTCCCAGATACACTGCATTAACATCCTGATATTCTCTTCTGTCCGATCATAAGGTAAGATAATAGCTTTGCAGTGGAAACACTCATAGCCATCACACTGTGCTCTGGTTTTAGCATTGAATATGAAGCTGCTCTTTGGGACATGACATGGGACGCATGACAGCTCTGGAATGCTTCTTTAAACCCAGGAGTAATCATTGCATTTTCTTAAAAATTCATGACCAAAAAGATCATCCGGTGCAAACATATTTCAGATGGCACTTTGCACTGCTTGCACGTCAGCTGCCTTTACAATTTAAGTTTGATGGTGTTGTCTGTGCTGCACTGTAATGGAGCATATGATATTATGATATGAGCATATAATTCGATAGGCTCCCTTCAGTTATCTTGACTGACTCTGCTTCTTCCATCGTAGAATAAAGCATAAAGAAAAAGTGAGACCCCTGACAAGTTAGTTTCTTATCTTTTGTATCTGACTCTGCTCTTAAAAGGGGTGTATTCCATACATTATGCACAAATTAAGATGATGAAGTAACCTCTGCACGTTTTTTTTTTCTCCTGCTGTCTTTCTGACTTGGCATCAGTCACGGCAGCTATCGCTATTTCTACAATCTCCATATATGCTCTATTCTAGCTATCTTCTACAATCTCCATAACCATCACTTAAAACCAAAAGCGCGTTTCCCTAACTAATCAGTTCTAAACTGGCTGAATCGTCAAAAAAAACCCCCAAAAACCCACAAATTGTGCAGTGAATGTGAAAGGTGGAACTCTACAAGAGAAACACCACCTGGTAACAAAAAGCAGTAGGAAATAAATAATAAGAGAAAGGCCAACAAAGACAGACAGGCTACAGTAAAGAAAAAGAGGTGGAGAGAGGAATTCACCAAACTGGTACAGATGCCTATGCCTGTGCTAGTCACTCTATAACCCCTTCATAGAGAGTGCATACCTTACCAGCAGAGCCCTAGGTATGACTGTTTTTCCCTAAAGTAGACCTTCAAAATAAATCATACATTCAGCATCCTAAAAGTGCCTGCTTCTTCTCCCTGGCTGTAAGGAGTGCCTGGGGAAGCTAGCTCAGATGTAGATGCCTGCCATATGGCCACTTATATTTAGGTGAGGTGAGTTCCACTCTCTGCAACAGCAATAATTTTTACAGAGTTATAGAAATATATAATTAGACCTTATGTGCGTGCACACTTACGGTTTTTCCCGTGCTCTCAGATGCTAAAACAGTCATTTATATTTTAGGCACACAGATTCCTCCAATGTTGCTTGGGCTGGATCTTCACAATCAGTTTACGTTTGAAAATTTGGGAATTTAATCCCCCAAAAAAGAAAAGCTGACACAGAAACATCCTTCTGATCTGACACGGAATGTTTTATTCCATTACAAGAAAAGCAAAAGAAAAAGCAGAAGAGTTGGTGGTACTACCAACACTGATGGGATGTGAACCTCCAAACCTAGAAATGTACAAAAAAACTTTAATCTCTGACTGCTTTAGCGCTAAGTGAGGTTTTTGGTATTTTTTTCACTTCTGAAACACTGGTCTGAAGAGTATTGTGAACAGGATTCTAGATTATGAATTCTTCAATGAAGACTAGTTTGATTCTGTACAAAATACCTAAGAATTCGGTGAGCCAAAAAGCAAAACATTGTGAACACATTTCCAGTCATGGCTAATACCTTCATTTTTGGTTTCCAGATCCTTCTCACAGGACTCCCTTTTTTCCATACAAATTCTGAAGCTGGCAGCAAAAAAACCCTGATAACCTGTATTCTGGTGAGTCCAGCTCTCTGCTGAGTGGTGCAAGCTGAGGGTTCAAATTCCCCTGGGACACCTAAAGGTTCTCCATAAACTTGCAGTGAGTACTTTAAATCCCAGTCTGCCGTATAGAGGAAAAGCAATATTCTGGAGGGATAAGAGGAAGAAGTTCATATACAAATGTTAACATTTGGAGGATTCCGCTCTGGTTTGACGTCTTTTCCCCAGGGTCAGACTAGAAAATCATTATACAGAGCCTGCACAGTTTTGTGGAAAATCAGAAAATGTGGGAAAAAAGATCAGCCTTTTTGACACCACCATGGCAATAGATGGGTCTCAGGCCATCTGGAGATGCAACTGCCTAATTTTTCTTTAGCTAGTTAGCTACAGCAATAAAACGGTTCATTTAAGAAAAAAAAAAAAAAAAAACAACCAACCTGTCCATGTGCCCTGCTGCTGGAATCACATAGGATGTGGTTCAAAGGTTTGACCTTGCAAGCTAGATGTGAAGCACTCTGACCTCACTGTCAATTACTCACGTTTAAGGATATGCATTTTACTCAAGTGTATCCAGCTACAGTTAGATCCAGTTCTTAAACTCAGAAAGTCACTTTGTTTTGTTGAGTGCTTCCCTTTTTTTAACTGATGAAAAACCATTATTCTTCTACTTTTGAGAGGCAAAGCTTTTGAGGGATACTAGCAGTGTTTTATAGAGTTGGTTTTTGAAAAGATAATACCTTTGCAAAAAGTATTCTATGTTGTTCTATTTTTTCTCTCTATGGAACTAAAAATGGAGGATAATGAAGCTCTGATTTCTCCTGTTAAGTTAGGAAAAAAAAGGTAGAAAAAACAAGGAATTTGAATATAGAGAAAATAAAAAATAAAAACCAATTTTAAAATACAAAATTTTCTCATGCCATACAGTTTAAATTATCTTTGTGTAAGGTTGAGCATACAGACTCACTGGCTTTCCAAACACATTACAAAATATCTTTTGTGAAGACATTTGTCTCTACAAAATACAGCAGAAATTCTCCTTCCCTTCCATTTTTCAGCAATTTCAGGATAGTAATTGATCCCTTTTACTTAAAATAGCTTTTATCCTCATGCCTTTTTCATGACAACTCCACCCTGCTTGGTTCGCTTTCGTATCTGTACTTTCTCATGTACTCAAAATAGAACTAGCGTAATTCCAATGTTTTGCTGATACCATGATTAAGGCATGATGTTCGCAGAACCATACAATCACAGAATGGTTGAGGTAGGAAGGCACCTCTGGAGGTCATCTGATCCAAACCCCTGCTCAAAAGCAGGGTCGGCTAGAGCAGGTTGCTCAGGACCATGTCCAGCTGAGTTCTGAACATCTCCAAGGATGCAGACTCAACCACCTCTCTGGGTAACCTGTTCTACTGTTTGATCACCCTCACAGTAAATAAGTTTTTTCTTATGTTGAAATAGAATTTCTTTAATTTCAGTTTGTGCCACTGCTTCTTGCCCTGTCACAAGACATCACCGAGAAAAGCCTGGCTTTGTCTTCTTTATTCCCTTCCATCAGGTATTTATACACATTGATAAGATCCTCCCATAGCCTTCTGTTCTCCAAGTTCAACTCCCAGTTCTCCCAGCCTGTCCTTGTGAGTCAGGTACTCTGCTTCCCTGATAATCTTTATAGTCATTCACATACACTCCAGTATGTCCACGTCTCTTGTACTGGGAGTTCAGGACTGGACCCAACACTCCAGATGTGTCACACCAGTGCTGAGTAGAGGGGAATGATCACCTCCCTTAGCCTGAGGGTAACACTCTTGCTAATGCAGCCCAGGAGGCAGTTGGCTTTCTTTGCCACAAGGACACATTTCTGGCTCATGATCAACCTGCTGTCCACCAGGACCCTCAGGTCCTTTTCTGCAAAGCTGCTTTTCAGACATTCAGCCCCCAACCTATAGAGGAGCATGAGGTTATTTCTCCCAGATGCAGGACATTGCATTACCCTTTGTTGAACTCCATGAGATTCCTGTTGGCCCATCTCTCCAGCCTGTCAAGGTCCCTCCAAATGGCAGCATGCCCATCTGGTGTATTGACCACGCCTCCCAGTTTTGCATCACCTGCAAACTTGGTGAGGGTGAACTCTGTACCATTGTACAGTTTATATTAGATGAGTGAATCTAGCTTAATCTTATGGAGTCCTGTCTGACTGCTTCTTAGAACAATGATCTTACAAGAAGATAAACAAGATGCACCAAATTCTAGCACAGACAGGATAAGCTATTCTTTATTATGATGGAGTTTATTGAGGCTAAACATAGTTGGGAAGCCAGATACCCAGGCTTCCCAGGTGGGTGTCCTCAAAAGCTTATGACAATCTATGCCAGGGATGCCAAGGCCCTTTCTCTCCCTTTCTCCCCCACTCCATCATTGTCTTCACGCTGATATCCATTTGACCAAGAGGATCCAAGTGTAAGCTACCTGGCAGAAAAATCACCATGAGCCTCCAAATTGGTCTCTCTTGGGCCATGAATAGCATGGATTACAAGAGCTCAGGCTGCAGCAGTCCTTGCCTGGACTGATTTTAATAGCTTTGGAATTGCACACTGAGACCTCAGTAAAGCTTCCTCCTTTCAAAGACAGAAAAGTAGTTTGCATTACAAACATCTGCTTACTAAGACTAAGTCTTTAATTTGTAGGGATCCAAAACATGACAATATTTCAAACATGATCAGTACAAACTTTGATGCAGTGACCTTACCGCAGAAGTGAGACGAGCAAGAATTTCAGCATTGGTTTCTGCCGTATCTTCTATTTTTTGATCAGGCCTTAAAAAATAAAAATAAGATTTTATTATTTCTTTCATTCTGTTTCAACATCTTTTGATTCCTGGAAAGCACAGAACTGTGTAGCCACAGGCACTAATGTAAAGGGGCTTTTGAGATTCCACATCAAAACGATGACTGCAACATGTCAATAATTAATTGTGTCAGTAACGACAGAGTACACCCTTTATCCCTTGCTGTCAAGAACTCTTTTGATTGGTCTAACATAAAACAGTGAAAGAATTCTTCAGGTATAAAAATATTATGAAGAACTGAAGAATTCTGGACCTTCTTAGCTCAGAGTTGCTTATTTGAATGCATATTTTGCTCTGCTAAAAACATACTCCATCAATAGACCGAAGAGTTTTCCATCTGCTCACCACCCAGCTTTGCTGAGGTGTGGAGTAACACCTATGGAATGCAAGCTCACACAGATAAAAGCAGACAACATCAAAATCATTATGTGACACATGAAGTTTCATATTTAAAAAAAAAAAGTGAAAATGAAAAGAATACATGGAAGGAGCCATAAATCAGCAAACTAAAGCAACGGCTGAGAACACTGTTAGGTTGTCTTGACAGTCACTCACAAGACAGAGCGACTTAATGTGCCTTTGCAAAAGTGGGGCAGTGCAGGAAGAACCCTTCTAGAAACTGTCACAGAAGTCTGGCCCTCGTGGGAAAAGCCACACGAAAGCTGCTGTAGACAGCATGGGATAGGACTGTGTTTTTCTTTAAAACAGTTTAATTCCCATCACTAAAACATCTGCGAGCCTTTCAGAAGGTTTATTGACAATCAGAAGAAAGATACCAATATGATAGGGGTATTACTATGGGAAGAAGAGAAACAAAATGCCCTTGAGATCTTTACTTTTCATGGTATTCAAGAAGCGTGGCATGCCAGCAAACTGAACAGATACACAGAACTGCAGCTGCTGTAATAAACACAGATCCCAGGTATTAGTAGAAGCTTCTATCTTTGACTAAATTATTTAATTGCTCATATGCCTTGATGTGAGAGAGATGACAACATGTCTGGAATATGCAGCTGGTATATCGTCGTTCTTACATCCCATGTCTAAAAACTTCTTCCCCTGATTAAAAAATTAAGGTAAAAAAGCACAATGTGACACATGTGTTAATTTGGGGGCAAGCATATTCAGACCAAAAAGGTAATTCAGATTAGAAATCACAATTATTTTCACAACTGTCTTTCCTACTCAAAGAAAAATGTGATTTAACATTTTAAGTGTTATAAACAGCCCAAAAGAAATAAATGAATGTAGTTTCATTTACAAAGACTGATTTATTCAGTCTTTCTCTTTATAATTTGGAATGAGATTAGAATAATTGACCTCTTTAGATGCTTATGTTTCCCTACGCACCTGATCTCTTCTGATCTCTCAGAACCAGGCTAGGACCTGATTCTTCTAAATTGGAGGCAAAAGATAGCATCTCAGTAGACGCAGCCACAGATGCAGTCTACAAACCCAGAACAGCATATAGCATAGCTATTTCTGTCTTGGGCCTTTATCACTTCATCTTCTATTTAAAAATACTCCCAGTATTCATCTGCATATGAGCATCGAATACTTCTGAAACCATTAATAT